AGGGTAGGGCCGGAGAGTGCAGCCTGGGTTTAAATGTCAACTGAAATCACTAAGTGGCCTTACACAGTTTTGCAAATTGCCAGGAGAGCTTCTGCTATTGTGTGGTGTAGAAATGTAAGAAATTCATAAGGCAAGGCACTTTCAGCTTCATAGAATATGGTAAGTATAATTCTGACCTACCTTACAAGACAGCTGTAATGATTATTTATCACCATTTCTTTATTTTTAACATTTCTAGTCCACCCTTTTTCCTTCAAGGAAGTGAAGATAGCATGCAGGCTTCTCCTCCTCTCCATTTTCTCCTCACAACAACTCTGTGAGGTAGGTTAGGCTGAGAGTCAGTGACTGGCCCAAAGTCACCCAGGGAGCTCCATGGCTGAGTGGGGACTAGAATCCAGGTCTCCTGAGTTCGACACTCTAACCACTATGCCACGCTGGGTCATAATGACACAATTGTGCTTTATTTATTTAACAACATTTTAGGCTGCCTTTAAGGGTGGCACCTTCTCATGTATGTGAAGTGTAATGAATGCTTGCAAACACTATATAAACAGCAATCATTATCCTTATTATAGTAAGGGGACAACTGTGGAAGAGAGAACCCCTCTATGAATCCAGAGCAGCCATTTGCTTAGAAAACTATCAGCTGGTTAACATTTATTGAATTCATCCTCTTGCCTGCCTTTAAAGGTTGTCAAGAGAGTGAGAGGACTGTGTGTGCAGGCTGATATGTCCAGATGCAGTTTGGCTGTCACAGTCAGATGTCTGGAAGGAGAATTCGAGAGAACAAAGAGTTGGAAAGTATCACAGAACTCTGCACTCAATATAGTAATATTTCAATTGGCAAGGGAATAATCACAGCTCTGGATTTATGACAGAGCCAATAAGCCATAATTGCCAGCAATTATATCATGCACACATATCAAGCTTGTGAACTCTGAGGCATATATTAGCTTTTTCATGAGCCCAGTTTTGAAAATCTCCTATAAAAACAAGGCATGATTTTTATTTTGGTGGAGAGTAGTGGAAGATGACAGGGCTTGGCATCTCATCACAGCGGCCTTCCTCTCCAAAATTGTGCCAGTATAAATGCAAGGCTGCTTATTTATTGGTTTGATGTATACCAGTCATGTAGTACAGAAGTGCCTGCACACCTGGGCAGACCGGTGGTTGTTTTGTTGCTAATTCAAAGACTTGATGCAGACAACTTCGACTTCAGCTGCAGCTCCTTTTTCCTTGGAAAAGCGAGTGCACATTCGCTTGGTTCATACATAAATTCAGGGCTTTTTTTGTCATAGAACGCACCGGAACGGCGTTCCGGCACCTTTTTTTGACGGATTTTTCCAAGTGATTGTGAATCGTCCTGTTGTGCGTAGCAGGTCAGCAGCAAAAATCATTAACATAGTGCCTGCGAGCTGCTTGTGTGTCGGCGCTGATTGTCGGCACTGATTGTGAGGGTGCTGCTCAGCTTGGGACGCTGCTTGGCTTGGGATCGGTCATGTGGTCACGCTCTGAGTGCTTACTGCCGGCGGCGACCATTGTGTAAAAGTGTGACCCCAAGACATGAGTTCAGCACCTTTTTTTTTTTTTTACAAAAAAGGCACTGCATAAACTAATCCATGGTCTATTCAACAAACAACTTGTTGGACTAGCCAGGATTTCTCTGGTAGATAATCAGTCCATCCATGGTTTTTCCTCAGTCGATGGCTTATTGATTTCCCTTCCCTTCTCCTTTGCCCACATGTTCCTTATATCCCAAATGGCCTTGCAGTGCTATAGTCTTGGCAAGTAGAGCGGCTTGTATTTTTTACTACTCTTCCTCACCAGTTTTGTAGCCTTGTGAACCAGCCTATGAACAGTCCACAGTTCTGCACTGAAACGCAATGACAACCAATGGGTGAAGCAACCAAACAGAGTAAGAACAGAAGAACCACCATGCTGGATCAGATCAAGAATCCATCTGGTCCAGCATTCTGTTCACAGAGTGGTCAACCATTTGCCCATGAGAACTCAGAGGCAGGATATGAGAGTGACAGCACCTTCTCGGCCTGTTTCTGAACCATTGGCCTACACGGTTCTGCTGCCTGTGAAAGTTGCACAGAGCCACCAGGAATAGTAGATAGGGCTAGATAGTCTTCTCCTGCATGAATTTCTCCAGTTCTGTTTCACAGCTGTCCAAGGTGATGGCCATCACTACTTCTTGTGAAAGTGGGTTCTATTGCTTAATTTTGCATAGTGTGAAAAAGTTTCCTCATTTTATCTGTCCTGAGCGTCCCACCAATCAGCTTCATGGGATGACCTCTTTGGGTTCTAGTATTATGGAAGAGGGAGAAAAAGATCTACTTATGCACTTCCTCCACACCATGCATAATTTTGTACACCTCTATTATGTCATTCCTTACCTTTTCAGTAAGCCAAACAATCCCAGCTGTTGTAACCTCACAGGGGACTTGCTCCAGCCTCTTCATCATTTTAGTTGCCCCTTTCTGCACTTTTCCCAGTTCTACAGTATCCTTCTTTAGGTGCAGTGACTAGAAAATACAGTGTTCTAAATTTGGTATAAGGCAATAGGAGATTAGTAGTTCTACTTGCGGTTCCTAATTCTGCCTAATATGGACCTTGTCTTTTCACAGCAGCTGCATTTTAAGCTGACATTTTCATTGAGCATTACAGTGCAACCTCAAGATCTCTTACTTAATCAGTCACCACTAGCTCAGACCCCATTAGCTTATACTTGGAGTTGGGATTCTTTGCCCCAGTCTGCATTACTTTTGCCATTTTGTTGCTCATTCTCCAAATTTGGAAAAATCCCTTTTTGTTTCAGCCACTCTGAAGTATACAATGTCATCAGCAAACCCAGCCACTTCACTGCTCACTCCTAATTCCAGATCATTTATGAATTAATTGAAAATAATTGACTCCAGTATAGTTCCCCATGGAACCCCATTCTTTACACTCTGTTATTGGGAGAATTTTATACCATGAGTTCCCCTTCTGGGTTTTTTGTGGCAAACACATCATGGTTTGTTTGGACAGTCAGCTTCACACATCACAACAAAGCCAACATCCAGTAACCTATGCCATGGCTTAAGCATCATGTGTGAACCAGGCCTGTCGTCTGCATCTCTGACCACACTCACACTGTACTGTAATGTCTGATAAGGGTTTTCCAGGTAGTTGTACACATATGCTGCAGCCTGACTTTCCCTCTCAAGAGAGTAGGAAAAATGGCACCATTTGGCTCCCCACACATATGGGCATCGATGCCCATTCATTTTGTTCACTACTTTGGTTTTATTCTGTTTTAATTTAATGGTTTTATATGTTTTGCTCTATTCTTGTGTTTTATGATTCTAAGCTTTATCTTGTAAACCAGCCCAAGAACTTCAGTTACTGGGTAGTATAGAAATGTAATAAATCAGTGAAAGGCCTATGCTACATATTACTCACAAGCATGGTAGATGTGTCCATGTAGAGGACACATCTACGTGTTTCTCTGTCACTTGTGAGCAACTGACTCGGCCAAAGTTTTCTGTTCAGAATTTGTTGCCTTTAAATCCAAAGTGTTTTAGCCTGTGCATACCTACTCAGGCTCAAACACAACAGCTATCAGTCATCCATCTTTCTGATATGCAATATTATCCATATTAAAACAAGAAATTAACTTTCTCTTCTATGGGAGAGTAAAATATATCTATACTGAAAACCCAACTTTTTGAAATAGAAAAAAAATGTTGGCTAGACATGTAGAAAAGAAATGGGTTTTATTGCAGTTTCATGATACTTAAAAAGTTTGAGACCAAACATTATTTATTCTATGTCAGACAGAAAGCTTCATTTTATAGCTGGTGTATTAGATTTTCTTCCTAATGTATTTTACCCTTTTCTTACAAACCCAAACAATTCCCAGACAATGACTCGTGCTGACTAATAGTAGTCTGGGAAAATTTTAGATGTCCTTATAACTTCAAACCAGAGAACAAACCCTTGAAGTAGTGAATTAAATATTTCTATGAAGAATTCTATGAATTTGGGTAGGTGTTTAAATTCAGGACATGCTTCAGCTTCCAATTCCACTTAAGCAGTTTGTTATCCATTGATTTCAACGAAGAGTAAACCCCTTTGGAGTGGGGCGAGTTGTCCTTTGTGCCTTTCCAGTTTAAGTTGCAGATGCACAATTACCTGCAACAACTTAAATCCAGTTCTCAGGTGCATTGTATTTGTACAAAATAGTACAGATAGTAATGTGTCATGTTAGCTGGGAAGGATGTGGAATAATTAAATCAGATATTTTCTATTTAAATTACACCTGAGTACGTGTGTGCACATGTGCACACATGCATGTGTGCGTACATGCAGGGGGGAACTAACCCTTTCCCATTTCCAGTTTTGGTATATTTTCTAAAGCGTTGTGAGAATAGAAGTCCACAAATGTAATTGTCGACTGGCCCACAGCCAAGGTTTCTCTGGCAAATGCTTGCTGCAATTGCCTGGCATCAAGTAGGTGATTCCTCCCTTTGCAGAGCTCTCTTCATAGCTAAGAGTATTCAGAATGTGTGTGTGTGGGTGTTATCTCACTGTGTTGAGTAGGAGGGAGGGAGGGAGGGAGAGATCCTGCAGTTCTGCTGAGAATGGCAAACATAAATAACTGGAAATAAGGGAGTCAAATTCTCACTTCATGCAGGGCTTTGGAGGCCCTCAGAAACACCAAGGTCTTCATTGCTTAAGAGAAAGACCACCCCTTCACTTCTTCTGGGTCTCCTGGGTATACCATAAAAATATGGGATGGGTGTGGGTGGGAATAGTCACAGAAAGGTATATATCACCAAACATTTGTGGATCCTTATGCAGTAAAATGCTCTGGCAATGCAAATCTATGTTTACATATTCATGTAGGTCTGAGGCTTCTTAGTAAGAGTGTTTAGGACTGCAGCCTTATGATGCCAACCAACCACCAGACCCAAGTTCATAAAGCCCAAGGAAAGAATCAAGCAATTCACTACTTCTCAAACAGTTTATTGGTCATTCACACTAATTATAATATTGAATGTACAGAAGAAATTGTGGTACAAAGAAAGCAAATTTCCATTAGAAGAAATGCAGCAGTCCAGCTGCTCTGCATGCTACTCACAATGAATTCTCCTGGACACACTGACCTTGTTATGTAAAGGAAGTGCCTATTTAGATACGATATCTAGAGACATGGTGGTGTGCATGGGGGGTGGGGTGGGGGGGGAGACTCCTGTTTTCTTCCTAATTAGAGAAACCAGTTATTTCAAGAACTAAAAAATCCCCCTTTTGAAAGTGAACCAAATGGCAGTATCAGGAGATGTGACAATCCCAGTACATAGCAGAATTGGGTCGCAAATACACTGAGAAATTGTTGAACTCACATATCCAAATGCATGCTCCAGACCAGCCTTGCTTGTCATTGAGTCACCCATCTGATTTGCCACAGAGTAATTTCTCATTAAATGTGTGTGTTCTTCAGAAATTGTAACTGTTAGCTTCAGAATACCACAAATAACCCACAGTTGTTTGCACATTCATTTTCTCCTACAACAAAAAGGTGAAGAGCTTTTGATGTGCCACATGAAACCATGCTGTAACTGTTTACAAAGTAACTAAAACAGTTTATCTTGAAACCTAAAATAATTAAACTGGAAAGAAATAAGTCACCTACAGTATTTAGCAAAGGCAAGTTCAGAAAAGGATGTAGCAAATGAAAAATGTTAAATACTTACAAGCATTAACAATATTTTTCTATGAAGCTTTTAAAACCTATTTACACACATAAATACAATTCAGTCTCCTGATGCAACCTTTTTATGACAAGTGGAAAAAAATGACTAGTGGATAATATTGGTCTAGGAAAATTAAGAAAAAGGTCACAATGCATAATGAGTCCTGTAATATAACATGTTTATAAAATATTATAAACAAGGTTTTTTTTAACAATGAATAATGGCATCTGAGGAAAAATGATTACTTTGAGGAAAGAAAAAAAAATCACTGATATTTCTGATTGTGGGATGTCATTGTGGGAAATCAGTTTAACCTACGTATAAGCATTTTAGTATGCCAAAAATTAAGATGCATTCACACCACTGCACTCAAATATGGGGAAATGCTGCTTCCAGAGCAGTGTTAGAAGTCTTTTATCCAGACCCATCCTAAACACATTCACCTTAAACTAAGTCTCATTTGCTTTAATGGGATTTGTCTCTTAATAATTATATTGAGGGTCTCAGTTGTTTAGCTGAAATGTGAAGCAAAAGCTGGGCTGGAAAAAAAATTAATCCAGTTCAGTTCAGTTCAGTTCACTTAAAGCCAAATTGTTTTAAAATGCTTTAACAATACTGTTAAAGAATAGTTAGATACTATGCTATTCAAGTTACTTGTAGTGGGCATTTACACTAAAATGGGTTCCTCCTTACTAGTCATCATCTGGTCGTTATAATTTGTTTCAAAAGGTGATAATACTGCCAAATACAGTTATATTTTTTAAAAAAGGCAACAGCTTATCATCTTTCTTGGAGTTTAAATGGGAAGAGAATTTATTAATCAATGCTATTCTAATATTGAATTAATCTGAATATATTGAATATATTCTTTGAATTTGAAGATAAAATAGATCTTTCCCATTCTACATGTACAAAAGTAGCTCAGCTTGTGTCTTTAACTATTCATCCCTTCCTAGGGAGACCCAACATAGGCTCAATCTATCCATTTATGGAATTGTACCTTTGCAGAAGACTTCAGAAGGATGTGCAAGTCATGACTTTAGAAGAAATACCACTTGTGTTATTAAGCACAAATGAGCATTTGCAGGATAAAACCTAATCCACTCAACATCTAGTAAATTTGAACTGCCAAGGAAGGAATCCTTTCTCAGCAGAACTGCAGGATCTCTCTCTCTCTCTGTCACACACACACACTTCTCAGCATTAAATGCATTCTCCAAAGTTTTATTGAAATCCTTGGCATTTACTTAAGACTAACTGCATTTAGGTTTCTAAGCCCAGAATTTACTGATACTGCACTATAAGGAAGAAGAGCTTTGGGAGAACTACATTGGGTTAGTTTCCTAAGAAAAGAAATAGTGATGAATTGTGAGTATCTGGGTGGTGGTCAAGCATGTTAAACATTAGGTGCAAAGTTCCCAGGTACAATAAAGACTTAACCTGATGTAGGGATAAGCACTTGATATTATTATGACTCTGGGCTAGGGAGAGCCGAATCAACTCTATTCTAGGGAGCCAGGCAGAATGAATGGAAATGAAGGATGAAATGTTAGATGCTGATCCCTAGGATGATCCTCTATACATTGGCCCACTCATTTTTGAACCTTATCATATGCAAAAAAGGAGGTGTGGGTGCATACAGAATGGATGGAGGAGGAAACCAGCACACCTGTGGAAAATGAACAGTATTATTTAAGGGGCCAAACACATGTTTTGCATGTACAAGGTCCTGGGGAAATTCCTGGATTTCCTTGTAGGGTTTTAAAAACATCAGTCCCCCATGCAAACATGTTCTACTCAAGTTCATTGTTTTTGACTATCCACCTTAGAAATGTCAGACTACATGGCCACAATGGTTCCATGTCAGTTCATCTGTGGAAGATGCTGGTTAGCCAGACACACTTACTTGGGAGTGACCCCATTAAACAAAATGGGACTTGCTTTCTGAGTGAACCTGCATTGGAAGGCACTGTCACTCACTACTGCTGCAGGTACTTAATGAGTTCTTTGAATACTGGATAAAATAGTATACATTTTTTCAGGCATAAATTGCAGAGAGTATACAGTGGCCTTAATTATTGATAATACACAATTGTCATTTTTATCAAGAAGATGTCAGCAGTAAGCACTCACTTGTAGCCTAAAGGACAATGCAATGTATTTTAAGTTGAAAGCCGTAGAAAAGTTATCCTGAAAGAGCCATCTAAATGTCATTGGAAACATAAGGAATCAATATAGGGAAAATAAAAAGGTGGCTGTAACAGTTTTGTTGTGATTAATTATTTTGAAATACTTTTATGGCAGAAGCACAAAGATGTCTTATCTCTTCCAAATGCATTAATGCCCAGCCCCAAATAAATTTAAATTTTCCAGTTGCAAAAAATGCAGTAACTCAAATAAGCCCAGAATAAACCAGGAATCAGACAATATACTAATCTGAACTGGGAGAAAATGTCATTGTGTGATCTGTTGAGCTTTTGCTGAGATCAGCTGAAATAATTTTCTGCTCAAAGTCGATCTGACTGATGACATGCTTAACTCTGTGACATTTATACCAAAGTGCTACTGCATCAGACACAAAAATAATGTAAAAGCAAAATCTACAAATAGATATAGATAAAGATATAAAAGAAACAAGTATTTTAAATAAGTCCAGCTGTTTTGCTGCCTGCAGCCAAGGATCTTGCTAATCCGAATCTTTTATTAACTTTTTAAAACACCCAAACACTGATTTAAAGGCCTGCTTTCAAATACTCACAAGAGTTGACCTACAATTGTTCCACTGATTTTTAAAAGGTCCATTTGTTAACAAACAAAAGATATTTCTAAATCTGTTGACTTCAGCAGTTTTCATTTAACAAGGAGTACAATTGCATTCCAATCAAACCTCCACATATAATAGTGCCTTATAATTTACAGTGATGTCTGATACGTATGAGATGCATTAGACAACAGTGAAAGTTCCATAGCAATCAAACTGAATTATTATGAAAACAAAAAGAAATAAATGGGCTTTATCGGTCTTGACTGTTATTCCATTCTCCTTCTTCAATGATGGACATGGTTTTGCTAGGTGCAAATCTCATCTGTTCTAGACTCCAAATACATTTATGTGAACTGAGCTTTAAACTGGATGTGACAAGTAGCACACTGACACTTGTTTTCAACCAAAAGGAAGCACAGGTGGTCACATGTCTGAATGAAGGAATGGTGTAGAGAGGGGCCACTCCCAACATTTTCCCAATCAAAAGTGCTTATTTGGTTTCCGACATATAGGAAAGATATACGGACATCCCTATCTTTTCTCTTACAGGATGAAAACAGCTGCATATGGGTGACTAGGCAAATGAGAACTGGTTATAAGAGCCCCACACCCACATCACACCTTTGCTCAGACTTACAGCCTTCTAAATTTGCCTTTGCTTGCCATTGTTCAAAGCTGTGATAGAGTTATTTGTGACTGTACCTTCTATCTGTTCCCAGTGATATCGGTGGGACTTGCACCCATTATGCTGAGCCAGGGCCTTAAAAAAATTCCTGCACTTCCCATTGAATCAAAACAGAATGTCCAGGTTATATCCGATTCTGCTCACAATGTACAGACATGAAAGTTACCTAAGAAAGTAATACTCCTGTATCAAATTAGGTTAGATTTTAATTTTTGCTTTTGTGGCTTTTAAGCCAGGGTGAGGAAGTTGTGGCTCTCCAGACATTTTGGCCATCAGCCCAAACCAGAATGACCAATGGCGAGTGGTGAGCAGCCTTGTAAGGAGGGCCACTTACAAACCAGCAAAAAAGAGGAAATGCATCATCAGCAAAGCAGACAAATGAGGACATTGCTTTGCATAAATTGTTGCTTCTATACATAGATGCAGATTTAGAAATGATTATTATCCTTTAAATAGAGACATAATGCACCACAGTGTGGAAGACTGTGACCAGATGACCTGGGTGTTTAGCTCAGGCTGCTGCCCAGACACTGATAATGGGCATTTTGAAAGCACAGTTTTCCCTTCAATTTTTAAAAATCTTTCAGCCAGACCTGGGCTGAGCAGCCCTTCCAACAAAGGATGTCTGCAGTCACAGGATGGTCCTCTGGCAGCCCTTCAGTTACACGAGCATCCTCTGTAAATGAGGGCTCACAGCCATCTCAGGCCAAAACATCTGGAGGGCTCACCCTGCTTGTAAGGATGCTGATGCAGTGGAGCATCCAGCTCTCCTTGGAATTCCAAGTATTTTTTCTTAGACCAATCCCTGCCTCCAATGTCCCATTCAAGTGCTAAAACCTGCTTTAAAACCACTGGGATAAAATTGTGGCAAAATGGAATGAGAAATCTTTTTTTTCTTTTAAAGAGTAGAGTCATCCTGACACTGCTTCCATCATACTAACAGTTAAACTAATTCTGGGTTCTCAAATGAACAAAAATGGCTTGAGTATTGAATGACAGATGAAAGTGAAACGGAGCTCAATGTAAACAATACTTCTAAATAATTAAAAGTCACATTACCCATAATTATTCCAGCCATTTTATATGTGATAATTTTAAACTTTGGTTGCTACAAAATGCATGTGCTTATCTTTCAAGCGTATTTAAATAATAAAGGTATCACACACAAAAACTCAATGCTGAGCATAAATATCAAGCAACTCATCATATATGTTTTCAGTAGTTGAAAAGTACTCTAAGCTGTCACTTTTTTATATTAAAGGAAAAATTAAATTACCTCCCAGGAAGGTGGGGATTTTTTTGGGGGGGGGGATGCCTTCAGCTGACAAAGTACAAGAAAAGCAAGCACATTTTATTTTTTAAAAAAAGATTAAATTGTTTTGCCAATTTTAAGGTGCCAAAAATAAAATTAAAATGATATGCAAAGAAGGATGAGTTGCATCCTAAAAAATAACAAGTAAAAGAATTCCCATACTCTTTGGAATATACAACTTGGTTAAAAAAATCAATTCCAGGATATAAAACCTCTTATTCACAGCATTGCTAAATCAGAAGCATTCACAGTTTTTCTCTGAGAATCTTCCTATACTTCCTTTTAACTAACGTGTCCAAATGATTGGTTCATCTCATGAAGACTGTGTCAGGCTTTAAGCCTCAAAACCAGATGGCAAACAAAAATACTTTTTTAAAAGATCTGAGGAGCTAATTTTGAAGTCTCAGCCTCTGGAAATATATTGAGTATCTATCCTTCCCCATATCTACAGTCAAAGTGAGTAGTATTCCATCTTAAAATGTCATCATCTTCAGAAGTTCAGCCCTTGGACAAGTGTACCATCTCACTGAAAAAAATCAGTTGAATAACTGCATGAAACCATTCCTAGAAAAACTGACTTCTGGACTGATTGCTTCTTGGGGTAATCTATAAACATGGCAGCAATCGCAACTGCTCATGTGAAAACCATGGATATCAGCATCTGTACTAATATTTCAATATGGTCGCCAAACTGCTTCTTCTAGCCTTGCTGTGGTTCCCATGTTGGTAGGGGAGTTGCTGTGACTGCCTTCTGTGTCCACAACATCATTTTGGTTTGGAAGGTTGGGATTGAGGAGAGTAGATCCTGTGGAAGCATTAGTGCATGGAGGAAGGATACGTGGGGGCGACCGATCTCCTCCGGACATCATGGAGAACTGGTATGATCCTGCTGATGTTCCATAGTAGAGATGGTAAGAAGGGGAGCTGGTCTGAAATGGGCCACCTTGAGCCTGAGAAGAACCTGGGTATGGAGGTGGTAGGTAAGTGTGATATCTAGTGGCAGTGGTCATAGCAGACATACCAATTCCTATTCCTGAGCTGACAGGTGTTGGAGTATAGGTGAATGCTCCTGGATAGTGCATGCGAGGATCAGAAATGGAAGGAATGGCAGGGAAAGGACGATCAATTCCAACTCTTGGATCACTGAATGCTGTTAAATCAGATGTACCTAGTATGGAGAAGAGGATAGAGAAGATGTAGTAATAATAAAGTCGAAGACTGATTCATTGTACTTTTGGGAAAAAATATTATGTCATCAACAGTGATACACTTACAATGCTCTTGTGCCCTGGAGATTGCACTGGAAGTTTAAAATGAATGAGGAAACCTGCTTGGTTTTCAAAATGAAAAGTGCTTTTGCGGAAGCTCTGAAATATTTCATTAAACATTCCAACAACAGCTGTTCCCTGATAACGTTTGCAGCCACTGTGCTTATTTTCAGAATTCTCCTCTTTTGATGAAGGCCTCATACCCTCTGTGATTTCAACCAAACAGTGGCATGTAATGATATCACAATGGTATGTAGCCGATCATATCTGGCTGTGTGCTAGTGATGCTGAAGCCAACAAAGCTCATTTAGAGGGTAATGCTTGTGGAGTGTTCAGATGGATGTTCCTAACTCTCCAGGAAGAGGAGTATAGGGGAATTCTTCCTGAATGGCCACACAGGGATAGAATAAGATTGCAAAGGGGTGGGCAGGAGTGACATCATTCAATGTGGATAAGTGTTTGTGAATATTGAACTTCCTTCTCTTTTTCTATTCATTCCAACCAGCTACAAACATTATGTTGCTTTCCTCTGCCAGAAGATACTGAAGGACTAATGTATCTGGGAAGGAAAATGTTCCAAATAACATGATCCATGCTTGAAATGATGGTTGAACTTCAACTCCTTTCTTCTGTGGACAGAGGAACTTTCACTCGCCATCCCCCTCCACCCCACACAACAGATTGAAGAGATAATGGCCTCTTAAAAGGGAGCTTCTGGACAGGCTCCAGTTAAGAGAGCCTGTGTCTCCTCTTTCTTGCCAACTATCACAAGGCATTAAAATAACAATAAAGAAGTCTCTCCTCACAGCAACACCTCCTGAGACACAGCATGGCGTCTGCATAAAAGGAATGTATATGTTCAGAAAATAAGAATCAGGAGGTGGGAGAAAGGAACAAAAACAAGCTGTGTAGATGTGACTGGATTAAAAAGGCACTGAAGACATGCGGAGTGTCAGGTTCTGAAAACTTGTCAGCCCAGCAGCCATGCCTCTTTGACAGGTTTCCACAGTTTTCTCAGGCAATTTCTGTGACAAGCTAGAGCCTTAATTCTGGATGTCCCAGGTATAAAACTCATCTGCCTTCCTCCTTAAAAATGCAGCTGAGCATCACACCACCCTAACATAAGCTTCTAGCGGTCTGTGTTGACTGCAAAGAAGTTTGCCATAATTTTACCCCCTAGTGGCTTTCCTGTGCCGTCAAAAGCTGTGCAGCGATTTCATGGGAGATGCTGCTGCATAGTATGGCAGTATTGTGACAAAAGCTCATCTGTTGATCATCTGGTTGCTGCACAGCATTTAAAGACCAAAGGGAGCAATTCTGACTGCGAACCACTTGAACTCTGCTTTATGCTGGCTGCCCCTCAGTGCCAATGAAAAGCTAATATTTCTCTACCTAATCTTGGCTGATTTTTCTGGCCATGATCCATATTATTTAATCATCAAAATATAAAAGTTATGATACATGTCTCCTATTATTTAGTCAGTGTATGAAACTAATTTTTTTTCTATTACATATCACAAATTGAAAATTTGTGTTGCTCTGGTTTTAGTTAATGTGAAAAGGTGAATTTAGGGAGGGAATATAAAGATTAGAGGCCTTTAGAAGTACCCATACAAAATACTTTGTAGAAGTCTAAATCAATGTCCAGGTGCAAAAACTAAATTACAGAACAAGTTACATTTGCTTAAGGGTAAAAACCCCATCTACATAAAGTCTTAAAAGTAAGGAAATAGTATGTGAAAAGGCTTTTTGAACTTTCCTTGATGGGCAGACTCTATGCCTCCACAGGAAAATCACTTGTAAACATGCTACAAACCCACCATTCATCTGACTTATGTTGCAATTGGAAATAATTCTGGTCAAACAGAATTTAATAAAATCCTAAAACTGAATGCTTAGAGACCATTAATACAGGCTTTGTGCACTACCACTTGGTATAATTTACAATGTTTGCAGCTGTGTTTGTTGAAGAAAAGCCAGCAGGCAAAACAATAGTGTACTGGATATGGGTTTTGCAAAAGTGTGTGTATGTATGTATGTACAGTATTTATTGTTCCATGAACATCCTGCCTTGTGTACTCCAAGAAACCCAAGGTGATTTACATGATCTTTCCCCTCCCCCTTTCATTGCCACAACAACTATATCAGGTAAGTTAGGTTGAAAGTCAGTGACTGGCCCAGTGCTGGCCCAAAGTGACTCACTGTACTTCATGGCAAGTGGGGAGTAGAACCTGGGTCTCTCCAGTCCTGATCTAATTACTACACCACACTGGTTCTCCATAAGCCTTGATCTAAACCTGGGAGTAAAGAAGTCATAGCGAAATCGGCCGACTTCATTCCAGTCCAATGTGTTTTAAACTGGGAGCCAACCATTCCTTCAGTAGCATTTCTGAATGCTTCATTTATTCAAGTTCTATTATTGAAGTTTGTCAGATAATGTACTTTCATACTGGACTGTGACAACCCTCTTCACAACATGACCTATACTTTCCATGAATGAGGAAAAAGCAACAGCAAATTTCTTGGTTCCATTTGCTGTCATTCAAAGAGCTGGAACATACAAACAGGAAGAACAGTGAACGGCCTAGACCACAAGTTCCTGTAGTACTCTTTGAAGATCTGCAGTAGAGGAACTTGGGATGTGGTGGAGTGATGAAGCCAGCTTCTATTTCATGACCCACAAATAAAGTGCAAGACAAGTAAAGGAGAGGATGCTTTCTTCCTTGTGAATGGCTGGTGTATTTTTTGATACCTGTTTCACACCTTGAGAATCCTAGGTTTAGAAAGTTCAAACAAACATTTCTGTGACTTACTTGTCAGTCGGCTTGACAGTTCTGCAGAAAGGGATGTCATCCCACTAGCCCTTCCAGGTGAAATTGGTGTGGCTGGATGAACTGAAGGAGTTGCAATTGATCCCAGGTATTGATAGGATGGGTCATAAGGCCATGGAGGGGATGGTTGAAGTTGCCTTGTATCTGACATGGAGGAGAAAAGAATACCAATTATTGACTTTTTTCAGCCCTATCCTGTGATCATCAGATGCTATTCTTCAAAGCAAAAGTGAAACACTAGCCATTTTCTGGTGGACCACAGTCAGTTGATAAGATTCTTGCAAAGACTCTTTGCAAAGAATATGCCTGCTGATTGCTGCAGTATAATAGGATTCCGTAAGGCACTTCTGTTCTAAGGGCAGTAGCTAATGTGACATGAGTGCTAGTTACACAGTGTTACTATAAGTGAGCAATAGTTCAATGCTAATTGTGTAAAGTTGGCACAATGACTTTCCCTGGACAACACATCATAGCAGCTAATGCTATTGCTGTTGTGCTAGAGGTTGCTTATGCCTGCACAATGCAGCTTACATTAGAGCTCATGTCAAATTGGATACCACCCCAATACAAGCGTGAAGATTCACAGCTGTGAAATGCAGATGAATTATGCAGTAACTGTTAAGAGATTCTAAGTTTGTAAAAAAAGGATAGACCATGCAAGACTGAAATCAGACTACCCCTGACTTAAAGGATGCACTGTGCACAGCTGCATTTTAAAATCCAGCTTTCCCTTTTGTCAGAAAGCCTGAAAATGAACGGAAGGAGTTGCAACTGAAGGAGTTGCCTATTTTCAAGCAGCATTTGCCATTCTCTGTGTTTAGGACAGTGGAATATTTTTCTTGTGATTTTTTAATAGAATTGCCATTCATGGGTTGGGTTGGTTTTTTTTTTTTTTTTTTTAGGGGGGTGATTAAGGATCAAAAGGTGGAAATGTCAGTGTACAGTGTCATCCTTTGCTAATGTAGTTCAGAATGTCATGTTAAACAGGGTTTTTCTGTTCAGATCCAGACACTGCATTCCAGTGTCAATGAGCTACCACAACCAACAAAACTATATATACCCAAGCCCAAACTTTTACAGATTGATGAGAAGAGGGCAGGGTACAGTCCTTTACAAATATGAGTGCCTCTGTTGTGAGTGTATCTATCAGATTGTTACTACTTCAAGTTCCTCATGTTCATTTATTTATTCATTTGATTTATATCCCACCTTTTTTCTTGGAAGGGAGCCAAGGCCGTTTCTTAAGCCTCCCACCCATCTCCATTTTATCCTCCAAAAACCCCTTTGAGGTAGGTTAGGATAAGAGTGCAAAGTCCCCCAGTGAGCTTCATGACTGAGTGAGAATTCGAACCAGGGTCTCCTGCATCGCAGTCCAGCACTCTAACCACACCACAGTGGCTGTCAGTAACTTGTAGGATCTGACATCTTAGTTTTAACAACTGGCTTCCTTGCAAGCTTTCTTTGTTTTGGACACTGCTTGGATAAAACAAGTTGCACAGCAATTTGCACATCATGGTGGCAGTTTCTGGATAATTTAGCCCAGGAATTCCACTGATGAGCAAAGCACATGAGCCACATTCTTGCTGTTTCTGCTTTTAAATACAGTTTTGTGACCGCTGGCCCCGGAACCCAATAGTTTCCCATAGTTTGTTGTTGGGCTAGCTCTGAGTTATTTAATCCAGAAACAACCCTGGATTTCTGGGTTTGCATGTCATGAAACAACCATGACTTGTTAATTAAGAGCAGGAATGATGAGTGTGCAGTTTGTATGCTCTGCTTGTGCCCTCAGTTCCTGCATTAAACCACTTAGCAATTGCCAGTGTCACATGTGATTTGTCTAACATTTCCATTTTAAAAAACTGTATGTCTGAGCCATGCAGGGCACAACTGAGGTATCACTGCTCTTGTTGCTCATGCTGGCTCCAGGGAAAGCATCTCGTACGTTGTTTTACAAAACAAATCACATGTGACACTGGCAATTGCTAAGGCTTTGAAGAAGAAAAGGAAACTTCCAAAAATGGCATATAGTCTCAAGGATGGTCACCTACTGACATGCCTTTAATCCACTTTCTTCATGCTCCCCACACCCCCAAATTTTATAATGCATCCCCTCTGTGCATTACTTTAAACTAAAGGCTCTGGGTGATCTCTACCGGCCCTCCGAAGAAGGAGGAGGCAATTATTTATTTATTTATTTATTTATTTATTTATTTATTTATTTATTTATTAAAACATTTTTATGCCGCCCCATTTGCCGCAGCCTTGGGGCGGCTTACAACAATTAGAATCATCTAGCAAGAAAGGCTGCACATGGGCGAACATCAGAAGAAACATCTTGATGGCAAGAGCAGCTCGTTGTTGAGGATGCCCTATTTTTGAATTTCACACGTGTTTACAGACTGTTTACAAGATTCCCCCCAACCCTGTGATGAGTGGGGGTGAGCTGGCTACATACAGAAAGATTGCAAAGGATTTTAAAAGGGTTAATTTTTCTTCCCAAGTGTCTATATATTAATACTTTGCCTGCTAGAATATGTGTGAATAAAATACTGCAGAACTAACTTGGCTCACATAAACTTGGTTCAGAGCTTAAATGAAATTTCACATTCTGTAAATGTGCAGGAAAATAAATGTATGTGTGGGAAACATGCCCAGTTTGCTAATATGAAAATATACCCACTTGAGGCAAATGTACAGAGTAGTGAACGGATGAAGAAGTGAGTTAAACAATTAATGGTTAAGAGTGACACTCTGCTCCTGGCTCTCTCTGAAGGGAAGGCTCCCCAAGGCAAAATATGGGACAGAAAGCATGGGATACAGTCCAACTATCTACCTATCAACTGCAACATTTCTATCTGCCCATCTCTGCAAATCCGATGACGTGGAAGAGTCAGGACTTATGGCAGCAAAACTGAAACCCAGAAGAAGCTGGGAGAGGGGAGAAAGGTCAGCTTGAGTAGGAGTAAGAAGCATGGCAGTCTGAGGAGAGGAAAGCAATTCAGGCTCCAACACCATAAAAAGGTGATCGTTCCTGCCCATCAGCCAATTGTTGGGATCCACCAGTCCCTTGAAATAATCTGAAGCTTAGGAGGATGCGCAGGAGAAACCAGGAAACTCTTTGGATCACCGTGGGAGTTTCCAGCATCCAAAAGACATCACTGAGATGAGGTGTAACAATGCTAACAGCAACTCCTTGATTAGAGGTGCCTGCATCGTCTATTGCATCCCAGCCAAACTTCTCTTCTGTGTGTATGTGCATGATCAATACATGCTCTCAACCAGACATAACACAGCCATCCATCACAGACCTATAACGAAAACCTTATCTGCAGAACATGCCTTCTAGGGAGTGCTGTGCCAGTCAGAAGGGCCACTGATGATGGCATTGTACCACATAGTTCAATGAGACATTTGGACATTTATTTCAGTCCTATGATCCAGGAATTTGGAGGCTATCCTTGCAAATCATAGCAAGTGGAAACAGAAGAATCTTCTTGGACAGATATCAAACACTGCACTGTCTCTGGAAGTCTGGACTGCAGAACTCAAAATTGCAGTGACAGCTGAGCAACTACTTTGTGGTCAGCCTTTGCTAATGCTTCTGCACCACTCAGGGTGATGACAAATGCTTGTCCTTTGAGCAACCCAAATCAAAGGGGCCTGCCTTGCCTTTGTGCTCAGTCCAGTTGTAGCCAGTTGTGACTACAATGAAAATGTATTTTGGGATAGAAAGGGAGGGAGATTAGGGGAAGCAAGTGGCTTTTGTCAAATGTTTTTTGTTAACAGACAGGCTCATAACCACTGAGAAACATCTCAAGGGAAAGTCAGAGGAAGTATGTCTGCATGCAAGAGAAGTGGAAGCATCTGTGAGTGTTGTTTTCAACAAACATTGCTAAATATCAGATCCCTGCTGCCAAAGATCTGGCTGGTGACTACAAACCAATATGTGAAGGCTTAGCTAGGGATCAGTCAATTTCTGGTTCATGCTCCCCATAAATCTATCCTGTTCCATTTCTTCATCAATATGTGAATCCCCTCACAACCCACCCCCACACCAAAGTCTTTATGAAAAGTTTTATTTAAAAACATTTCCCTCCAAAACACACATTTTAAAACATATTTTTATATAGTGCTTGAGCCAAGGACTATGCCAGCAAATCCAGGAAGTACAAACGGTGGAAGATAAGTAAGTTACAACCTGCACATTAGTGCAGGAGGTGCAGATCAGGTAACTTCATACAGGAATTTATGGAGATTGATTTCCTGAAGCCTTCCTAAGTTTGGCCTTCCACACCATGCAACTCCTTACTTTGGGTAAGATCCAAGCTCAGTCCTACTTATAGCAGATCCATTGAAATCAGTATAACATAAACTAATTAAGACAAACTTCCATCCCATTGATGTTAAGGGGTTTACTCTAAGTAGGACTCAGTCTGGGTCCATGCACATGTCTCCTTTCTAGCCTTCCTTTCTCACTCCAGCTGTTTGTAGCTTTGTCTTCTTTCCACTGGAACATTTCCTCTCCAAAACATACCCTTCTAACCTCCTGCTTCTTTGGTGTCTTAGCATCTTCGTCTAGCTCTGCATGGTATCCAGAATTACAGCAGTTTAGCCAAGCACTCTCAGAGATCTTTCGGACTGCCTTGCCCTCTGAGTAACAGGCAGTCTGCTGAGCCAATCACTGCCAGGAAGTTTCCATGCAAGCACATTACATTATATAAGATTTTCTGACACAAAGCCACCAAATCAAATTAGAACACCCATTCCTCTCTTCTCACGGCCCTATCAAATGCGGGAGCTAGATGTATTGTTAATGCATAGCAACAGAGCACTCTACAGTGTACAAAATTTTACCAACTGAAATGTGATGAAAATATTTTGGCACTTTGGGTCTGGCAGCAAAATAGCTTTGCAGAAAGCTTTAAAGGGAGATTTAAGGCACAAAGCATGGAATCCTTGCAGCAAATGTGCTGTTTGTAAGGGAACTCCGCCTTGCACTTAGGATGCCAAACTGAAGAATGGGCCGGAGTATTAGCTCCATATGAAAGCACAGGTGGCAGTGACTCTGGGAGTTGTAGTCCAACACACCTGGCATGCACTACATTGTGGATGGCTGCTCCCGAGTATCTGCGGAACTACTGTTC